TTTTGAAAAATAATATTTACAGGCATACAGTATTTAGGTATATTAAATATTTAATATTTGTATAGTAAATGAAAACAATATATTTATTAAATTACCTTGTTAGGTAATGGTTATAATCCAAAATACAGTAAAAATCTCATTAAATTTAATGTAAAAATAATTATTAATTGAGTGAACGGAGCCGATTGTTTGGTCCAGATATAAATGTGCTTGCTAATAATCTTTAAAATATTCTAGTTTAATACTTAATGGGGAACCTCGTTAGGTGTCAGCAAATTGTGCCAGGATAATCTGCAATAACATAAATTCTATGACCATATCTACCATTTGAATTGATCAAACTTTCCGAATATCACCAACTAATCCCGTAAATCCAATTAAAGTCACTGGTGACTTGCACATTTTACATATTAAATAACATTATAAATATTGATGGCTATTCAATCATACAGTAATTTTTTATATGAATTCATAGACTTATATTTTTCGTAAATATAATCACAATTTGTATTAAAATCTGACGGATAATTGCCGTCAAAGTATTGGTGAAGTATACTTATTATTTTTAATTTAATATTCTGAATGAATAGCACCGGTACACAATGTCAAAAATCTATGTGCATGGTAATAAAAAGAGTAAGTTTATTAAATAACTTTTTGATCATAAAACATTTTAATTAATACACTTATAGTGTTATTAATTAAATACATTTTACTAGTAACAAAATATTGGATAGCAAACATTTTAAAATTATATTTATTAATTATATCTATTATTAATAAGTATTTATAAAAATAACTTGCAAATAAAATTTATTATTATAATCAAGCGCATTCACAACAAATATATTTATAATTTTGTTTTCAACCTGGCATTGCACATAATTATTATTGCGAATGGCAACTATGGCCCGCTAACTAAATGTGCGTGCTGATTGAAACTCTAGTTGTGGGTACACGAGTCATACAACTCTTTACAAATTAATAATAATTTATATTGCAAATTACAATTTTTAAAATAACAGTCATGTAACCATTAGCCCTCATAATGATTAAATAACATTTTAAGTATACTCTCATTTAAAATAGTAGTTTGATTTTATATAATTGAGTAGAATTTGTTTTACAAAAATTTACAAGAACAATTTCACGTGGCTTATTCAAAAAATTCAATATAAACTTTACTGTATATATTTACGGTTCATATTCTTATATATTTTTAATTAAATATATTTTATAAAATAGTTTGTTTCCCACACAATAGAGGACGTATTGGTGGTGAGCTTTCGTTTATACTTTTTATATAATTTATAAATAATACAAAATAATATTTTCTTATTTCAATTCAATTCAAATATTTTATTCTTTTAAATTCAGTCAAAATATACAAGTATATTTTGTAAATTAATTTCATATTGTCATTAAATTTAATTCAAAATTGAATTTAAAGAGATTTCATATATTCTTTCATGCAGTCAGTTATTTTCATCAATCCGTCCGATAAATATTTATTGGCATCGCATTGGACCTCATAGATATAGTAGAATCGTATGGGTTCACCAGACTTTCCTTTGGAGTAATTAGCCATGCCAAACATACCATTGCTTGTCACTACCCAGGCGTCCCTTAATAAATTTTGAAAAATTTGTTTTAATTCAAAAATAATTTTATATTTAAGAAATCAGACAACTTTGCCATCATGTTATATATTATTGAAAACTAATATGACAACATAGTTTAATGGGATATACAAATATATTATAATAAAGCATACTTAGCACCAATTAACATATATCTGACGACCTCCTTATTCTTTGTACCCAAATTAAATGGATCACCAGGATCACCCAATTCTAACAAATTATAAAAATATTATAATAAATTAAATTACTTATAGATTATTTTAAATACCTTTAGACTGATCTTGATGTTTGGATGGCTTAGCTTTCTTTACTGGCTTTTTGACAATCTTTTGAGCATTTAGTCGTTTAGTTCTTACCATTTTAGGACCGTTATTATCATCTGAACTCTCACCATAACTGTCCGCATCAGACACTTCCACAACAAGATTCTGACTCATTTTGGATGCCTCAAAGTGAGCCGGTTATGCTTGAATGAAAAATGTTTTATATACCAAAAAATTTTATGTTAAAAATATTCAAACTTTCCCACATTTACGTCATTACATAGAAAATTGAGATAAGAAATAAAATATTATCAATTTATATAAACATTAAGTATGTTTTAACAATTTTACAATAAATACATGATAATATATTCTTTGTACTATAATAAATATTAATAATTGAATAATTATTCATTTAGATTAAAATTAAAATACTCATTGATTAACATATAATACACCTTGTTACTATTTACTAAACTACACTTTAAAATAGATAAATTTATCAAATACTCAGCTCTTATTCCTATTATATTAAATTAATATTTATTTAAGTTTAACTAGTATATCTAAACGTGTGAAAATAAATGTACCAAGGTAAATTTTGTCCTTTATGTCAATATTTAAAATTTCCGTTGCGTACATTTTTCTTGTATAATTATTAATATACACTTATTTAATGTTTATTAATTAATGAATAGTCATGAAAATGATTGAACACACTATGTAAAATTAATTTTAAAATTATAATTATTTATATTTAATTATGAGGTCGTACATGTGAATATAATTCTGGCAAAACTTTAATAAGTTTTTTGTTATAACTCAGCCAAAATCAGTAAAAAGTATTTTATACGTCTATTTAATGCAGATCTTATTTAATTAATTAAAATTTATTAAAAATTTAGTCATTAAAATTACTAGACAAACTCAAAGGTCATAGGTCAAAATAGTCAAATACATCTTGAAGAGCAATAAATAAACTTTCATTTAAGCTATTGTTCATAAAAATCTAATTGCTTATAGAGCCAGGGTGATATAAAATGTGACAGGATTTCTCATACTAAAGATAAAAATGTTGGAAATTATTGAATGACAATATCCAGAATATTCAAACCTCTGCTATTCTGTTATTGATTTGTATAAATTTAAAATTCTTTCATATATATCGGGTGTCCCGATGAGGGTCGCGTCAAAGATATAGGCGATGAGGCCTTTGCGGTCAGTCACGTGTCCACTGATCAGCCCTTATGGTTGTCCTTCTTTGGCAATAACCTCAACAATCATACCCTCCGTAAAGAGGTGTTCAGTGGTATCAACCGTCCCGTCGACCTCTATATGACGTTCACCTGAAGTTCATCTCTGAGTCGACTTACGAGGCATTCCTACAGCAGAATCCCAACCATACTATCCATTCGGACACCGAGTGTAAGGACAGTCGTAACGATTGGTTGCGTCAGAAGTATCCCAACCAATGGGTGGAAGAGAATTGTTGAATTATTTAAGATTCTAAATAAAAACAATAAAAATTATTTTCTTGATTCAAAGTTTTTATCTGGATTGATTTTAAAAATATATTAATTTATTATATAATACAATGTTTATTTAAACTATTTTTAGTAATTCGATTTAGTTTATACAGTACTTACTCATTTTACTCAAAGTTAAGAGGTAGTGATTTACCTATTTTAGTAGTATTATAACTATTAGGGGTATGCAAAAGTTTTGATAGGTGAAATATAGTCAGTAAAAGTTTATTTATTTTTGAACCAGGTAATTTAAATAAAAAAAATTTAATATGAGAAACATGGTTTTAAAACCTCAATAAGCTGCTTAATTGATTATTTTATGCGAGCACCGGTATCTCAGCACAGGTAGTTTTTGTAAAATGTGCTATAACTCAAAAACTATCAGGCTCATCTCTGCAAACGATACACCATTCGAAAGAGAATTAAAAATTGGGAAATACATCAAAAATTATTATATCCATATATCAATACCAACAGGACAGGAAGGGCTGGTAGCTTTCAAAACTTGATTTTTAAACAGCTATAGAATTAAAACTATAATAGATAGAGAAATGTTGTTTGGTGGAAAGTGTGCAGGATTAAATTCTCTATCGATCCATAAAGTAAAAATTATTATGTTGATTTAGAGCACCGGGAGGAAAGGGTGTTTTTATTAATATTTTTATAAATGGACTTATAAAATATCTAATTAGTGCATCGAATAGAGCTAAAAAACTAACAAATAATGCATTTTTAATTTTAAAAATATCTTGCTATATAAAATTTATAGGGCATTTTAAATTTCCATTATTTATTTGTAATTTACAAATATTTTCAATATTAGTAACGGAAACTTTGAAATGCCCTAGAATAGTTATATAGGGAGATATTTTAAAAATTTAAAATGCACAATTTGTTAATTTTTTTAGCTCTATTTGATGCACTATAATTTATAATTTAATTTTATAACTAGCATGATGAGTGTTAAATTCTCTATTGAATTGATATATCACATATACATATTTATTATGAAAAATATTCCCGATAAAAGTGGTTACTGTGGCCGAACCCTAGGTCACAGGACAATATAAATTACATATTCAGACCCAGCATTGAATGGCCTTTCATTTCCAATCAACAAATCAAAAATGCCAGCTTTGGAAACTCAATGCTTTTATGACAGTATCCTTTAAAATTATAATGTAATATAACTTTAAAAATATATATTGAATTAAATATCAGCTTACAATTTTTTTTGTCATGTGTAACAATAACAATTATTGTAAATCTAAAACTCATTTAGGTCATTTAGCTTATTGTGTATCAATATTATTAATGGTTAAAGGTTCAATATAAATACTATAAATTAAGTTCAAGCACATCCTACTAAGATTACTTAATAAATAATATACAAATGTACTTAAATGTTCTATAATACTTAAATGATTAAAAACGAATTGTGGCATGTACCAATTTTAGATAATACTCTAATGGTAAGTGTCAGGCATAGGCTTAAGCCTTAATACAATATATCAAATAAAATTATCTCCAAAAGAATTAGCACATAATGATAAAAAAGCTAAATAACCATGGTTGATAGTGATTGTAGTAGCACTATTATTAAAGGTATAAATAGAGAAAGTGTTTTTTATTTATAGTTATACAGAAATACTACCATAATAGTTAAATCATTACCTCTTAACTTTGAGTAAAATGAGTAAGTAAAATACACATTACATTAAGTTATTATCAAATTGTTTAATTAAATATTGTATTATTTAATAAATTAATATTTTTTAAAAATCAATCCAGATAAACTATTAATTGTCACATTATTGACAATATTCGGTGGTATCTTAGCCGATTATAAGTGTCCACCTAACCCTGATATATTTCTACCATGTGAATGCATTGTTGACCCTGATATACTGCCCCTCTACAGAAGCATTTATTGTAAGGGTGACCAACTTATCAATCTGACGGCACTTTTCCAGAGACTGAGCCACGAATTAAAAGTCGATGAAAAAGATTACCTCTATTTCACGCTATCTAACAAAGCGGTGGACGTATTACCGGCTAATGTTTTCGCAGACATCACATTTCAACATGTTCAGTTAGAAGGTAAAAATTTGACCAAGGTACATCGCTTAGCACTCAATGGAACACAGAATACGTTGAAAAGTCTAAGAACTCATTCTCCGCTTATTGATGGGGACGAGGATTGGGACCTATTTAAAGCGATTAACCTTGCGCCTAATTTAAATTTTGTTGAAATCTTGTTTGATAATTTGACCAAGATACCCGACAATGCCCTACAATCGCACCCAAATCTCCAAAGGATTGATATTGCTTGGAGTTGGTCCCTCACGAGTATCGGTAGGAATGCCTTCAAAAACCTGACAAAAGTAGAGTCCATTAGTATCGAGGGTTGGGTCAAAGATATAGGCGATGAGGCCTTTGCTGTCAGTCACGTGTCCACTGATAAGCGCTTATGGTTGTCCTTATTAGGCAATCATCTCAACAATCATAACCTCCGTAAAGAGGTGTTCAGTGGTATCAACCGTCCCGTCGACCTCTATATCATTGAAAATCGCCTGAAGTTCATCTCTGAGTCGACTTACGAGGCATTCCTACAGCAGAATCCCAACCATACTATCATTTCGGACACCGATTGTATGGACAGTCGTAACGATTGGTTGCGTAACAAGTATCCCAACCAATGGGAGGACCTGCATTGTTGAATTATTTTTAAATCTAAAATTAATGTAAAATTAATATAAAAACAAATTACACATTAAAATTTTATAAAGCATAATATGACCATGATATTTTTATAAAATGCCAAGTTCAAATACAAATACAATATTGTGAACTGTAGGCATATTAACTTAAAATAAAAATTTAAGATTCTAAATAAAAACAATAAAAATTATTTTCTTGATTCAAAGTTTTTATATAAAAAATATAATTAACGCTAAAATTTAATATTTGTCATCGGATTAAAGTTTTAAAATTAATCATGTTATTGATAAATATTTCATTCTATCAAATTAATTTCGATATAAATTTATGTTCCAGGTTAATTGAGAACTATAATAATTGTCTTAAAATAGACTTTTAAGTCACTTAATTTATATGATGGATAATTTTTCAATTCACAATTTATGTCATATTATCAATGAATATGAGTTATTTAATAATTAAAATTATGTAATAATTTACATTTATTAGTCATCTGTACATTTAGAGTCTGTACAGAGACGGGTAACTAAGTATATTTGTTATAAACTGGGTAAAAATGATTTACAATATGATGATAGACTTTTGCTTTTAAATATTATATCTCTCGAAAAGAGACGTAAAATACAAATACTAAAAATTGTGTTTAAAATTAGATTTAAATTATATGATTATACATACATATGGTGTAATGAATTGTGTTTTTATGATACATCAAGGAATGGGACCTTTTGTAAGATATCATTACATAAATGAATATGTGATAAATCATTTTTTATGTCTCAAAATTGTTCAATGATTTGCCTAAAAATATCAGATGAATTACTAAATATAATTTGTTTGTTAAAGAAATTAATTTGTTTTTATGATTCTTTTGTATTAATTAAGAGTCCTTATTAGATCCAATAAACCAGAGACCTCAAAAGTTGTTTTTTACAAAAAATATGTACAACATATTTTATTTTATTTATATAGATTATCAGTAGATAAAGTACTTTACAAACACAAATATCATTACTATTTTTACATATTTAAAGTCACCTTAAATGTGAAATTTCTATACATTTCTATATTGATTTTTAATAGAGAATTATAGTTTCAAAAATATTCACTGATAGAAACTAATCAGATATATTTCTGAGTTAGTCATTATTTTATACATAAAAATACTAAAATAAATGCTTTATTTAAAAATTACAGTTTATAACTTCCAGTTAATATTTTAAAACTCTCACTCACACTAATGTATACTATATTTGTGAGCCAAACATTTGAAGGATATTAAAAATGTTTGAGAGTTTGACGAATTGGAGTCAAACTTTGAGGAGTCTGCAATAAACCATTATTATTATTATTATTTATTAACCATGCGCATAATTTAAGTATCGTCAACCTATTTTATACGAATTTGTGTGGTATTTTATTCATTTTGGTATTTGTTGTGACCTTTTTAATTTATATAATGTTTCAGCCGTGGTAGTCTACTGGCCAGGGAGATTCACTGTAATATCGAATTTAACAAGGTCACTGAAAGATTATAAAAGATTATACCACAAAATTCATTGTAAACTCAGTACAAAAGAATATTGTATGTTAATAACTATTATTTTATATAAAGATAAATCAAATTAAAATTTATTTAATAAATAATTAAAATTATTACCAATTTACTAGGGACAATTCATTAAGTATGTAAAAACTTGGTGAGGATGGGTGGCTAAGGATTTATGTCATTCGTGAGCTCAATGAATATTTGCTAACTATTTATGGCACAGTTATCCAACGAGTCATATACTGATATACATATATATACATATATTAATATATTTACGTTATATAATATTATAATTGTAAAAGTTTATTTGAATTAAAATAACACTTTTTATTCATTATATATTATTATAAATTTATTTTATTCATTATATTTGATTCATTCCTAGAATTGTATTTTAAACTATTTTTAACATTTATTTTCATTGGAATTCACTAAATATCAATATTTTATAAAATTTTGTTTTATTAATCCCGGTGTTCACGGCATAAGTGTAAAACGGTTGGGCACGCTACATTAGATGTCAAAAAAGTTCATTTAATCTAAAAGTTCATTTTATCATCTATATATTTATTTATAAAAAGGTAATATTTATACTTTTATAGATGATATTTATTTGATACATTTAAATCTGTTCATATTTTTACTACTTTTAATAAAAACAATAACTTGCCTAGTGTTAACATTAAGGACAAGTTAGTAACAAACTTTTTTGACTTAGGATCAATTTTGATTTGTTAAATGTAATGAACGTTTTTACTAGATAAACTTTTTTAATAACTAAAAAATTATATTGAATTGCTTTTTGATTGTAGGATTAATTGATAATGATACAATTAAAAAAAATTCAATGTAATTTTCTGATATAATTTTAGATATAATTTTTTTTATAATATTGTAATATAATGTATAATATGAATTTTTTGCGATTATTTACATAGTTTATGAAAACAGTTTAAAAGATTAATAAAAATTAAAATTGGAGAATCATTGAATGGATTATTTAAAATTTTTATTACAAAATGCTAACGATGCTCAAATAAACTAATATAAATAAATGAATATTTTATTATTATTATAATTTAGTATTATTTGTTAGTTTGTTAATTTATCTATTAAGAAATATACATACATTGTCAAAAATAAATTTTAATATTCCAAAAATCCGTAATACTCTATAACAGACTCCTCAAAGTTAGACTCCTTGGATAGGGTTCCCAAATCTCAAGGGTCAAGCAGGACTCTCAAGGAATCGGTCATATGCTCAAGGAAATATTTTCAATAAATATGTTCATTTCAATGGACCTCAAGGAAATTTATGATCACCTTTTAAAAAATCATGGAAATTAAGGACATTTTTTGTGTAAAACTAAGAATTCTCAAGGAATTTGATTTTTGGATTTGGGAACACTATCCTTGGAGCCAAATTGGTACACGTATTTAATATCCTTCATATGTTTGGCTCACAAATATAATAACACATTAGTGTGGAGAGATATAAAATATCAACTTAAAATTATAAACTGTAATATTGAAATAAAGTATTAAATATTCTATTTTTATGTTTAAAATATTGATTTACTCATAGAAAAGTATCTCTGATTAAATTTAATAAGTTGAGTGGTGATTATTTTTATACTCTGATTCTATTCTAAAAAGCAATATAGAAATTTCTAAATATCCACATTTACAGGTGACTGTGAATACAGTGAAAATTGTAATAATATTTGTGTTTCTAAAAAGCTTTATCTACTGATAATCTATATGAATTAAATAAATTATGGGGACGAATTCCATTTTATTGGAAATATTATTTGTAATTATGTGTACGTACTGAATGAAGGGTAAAAATTGTATTAATAAAGTTTACAAGTAATCTATTAGCAATAATCTTGGTTTGCAAAATATATCATCAAGTGAATTTGATTTATTTTATAAAACTATTCATTTTTACTCATAAATAATAATTAAAAATAAGTATAAATAAAATAAATAATATGAAATAGTCTTCTATTCACATATTGTTGTCTTACAGAAAGCCTATCAATTAGTAAAATGAATCAAATATGAATATATAAAATAAAATTCATTTTTATTTTCTATTTAAATGATTTCAATTCATGAATATATTTTGTTTTTGATACATTTTGAGGTCTCTGTTGTATAATATAATATGAGCTGGGAACAATCATAGTAACGTTAGATATTTTTATTAATACTTTAAAATCCAGTAATATTTTAACCTGATAAGTCATAGTACTACTCGTTTAGCTTAAACCTATGTATATTTTATGAATAATTGACTTTTGGATAAAATTAATAATTAGATATCGGGTATCCCATCGTATCAGTACGATTTTAAATTAAATTAAAAATATTAACAATTATATTTTACTAACAAAAATTATACCAAAATGTTGGAAATTTATTAAAATTTTATGTACAATTCATAAAATATTTACCAAATGCCTACCCTGGTCATTATTTTAGCTTTACCGCATGCATGTCTGTTTTGCGTAATACCATAGTAATAGTACTGTACAACTGTCACCGAATGCTCGAATCAATGCTTTGTAGTCATAGCGCTCTAAGAAATTAACGATTTTTTTGCATAAAAAACAGACATACATGCAATTAAACTAAAATTATGACCAGGGTATGGATTTTATGAAAATTTTAATAAACTTCCAACATTTTTTTTTGAGTTTAGGCCTTTTCGTTTTTAGGCCTTTTGGGGTTTAGGCGTTTTAGGTTTTAGGCCTTTTGAGGTAGAACCTATTACAATATATAATATTTTACATATTTTAAAACATAATTTTATGTAGATAATATCTAGTTAATTCATCAAAAACAAACAATGTTTTATGATCTACCCGATGATAATTTTAAGGAATTATTTCAAAATGTATAAGAAAATAAATTTCACCATGATACTCGGACTAATGTTTCAATTAAAAAATATCTACTATCCATTAACATTGACGCAAATACTGATATTAACGATAAAAACCCTCATAATTATTATTTCAATCCTGATGATATTAGTTATAGGGGCATACACAAAAAAACGAGCGGTGGAAAACTTGAATAGCTTGCTAACTACAAGTTCTAGACTGAAGCGGTAAAAAGTATTATTTACATCTATTTAATGCCGAACTTTTACAGTTAAAAATTTTTTTATCAAAATGAACAGTAATTGAAATAACGGAATGAACGCAAAGGTCATAGGTGCAGGTCAGGGTAGAGGTCATTGGTCAAAATGGTTAAAGTGATTTTGAAAGCTCAATAGCAGAACTTTCATTTAAGCCATATGTGGTAAAAATCTAATTGCTAATAAAGGCTGTGCGATACAAAATGTAAGATATGATTTCCCATGTTATCATGGTTATATGGGTTCCCATGTGGTCAGTCGTGTATAATAAAATTTGTTGATTATTTGTTTATATATTT